GTACCTGCGTACCAATTGGAAAAAATTTAACATAAATGGTACATTTCGGCCAAAACGGCAACCGTGACGTAAGGCCATTCAGTCCGCAGGCACCGTCCGATTAACACCTGCACTTACGGATTTTATCGAGTTTTCTCTCTAGATCCGCCATATTCAGTTAAAGCAGGGGTGTGACTCTTCGCCACGTATGGTCGGTCTTGAGCCATCGACAGCCCCTAATCCATAGCGCTGCATCACGTGTGATGACAGCACCAAGAACCTTGACCTCCAAGAGTGTATATAAACAAGGGATTAGTCCACACGGATATTTAATATAACTCTGTATGAAGTGAAACATTTAAACAGTTCTAAAAATTACATTTATGCTAAGCTTTATTATAAAATTAATAGCTAAGATGATTTTTTCGTGGTTGTTTGAGTCTTAAGTTATTATTATAGGACTCCGTGATTTCCAAAATGCTCCCCTTTTTTCTAGCAACCCTATAGTTTTTATATAATTTGTTGTTAAACTTTTCATATTAACGATGAATAACATCATATTATGCGAAGTATGCATAATCAGACCTTTAGGCTGAACACCTTTTGCAGAGAACACCCACGGTGCAGCGAACAAAGGTGGCGCCGTCAGTGGTCCCGCTACTTTGGTTTGGCCGATTTTGACAGTTGTGGTAACTTGTTTTTAAACCTTTGTTTACAAATCAGCGGCAAAGAGAAATTTGAATTATAAGTGAAAAATCAGTTTAAATTGTGTTAATTTGAGATTTGTGAGTGATTTTTGAGTTGAAGACTGCGTAGAACTAATAAAATGAAGTGCGGTTAAATTACTGCAGCCGTCAAGATGCAAGACGCGTAGATGCAAGTGTAGCGCTGGTACGATTCGCTGCATTTTGTGTACATACATAGGGCGCGGCAAAACCCGTCCCAGAAATGTTTCTTTATTATTATATTGACAGCATTTCATCACAATGATTTCGCTTCTGCTCTAAGCAGCCTCCTAATCAATCCCGCTGAGATGCTGCAGCTGCATTAATTGCAAAGCAATGGAGTGCACTAAACGTTTGCTGCAGCAGCCTCAATTGCAAAGCAATGGACTGCACTAAAACGTTCACTATTCTCTAATATAGGGATGCCTAAATCAGCACATATGTGTCGCGGGCGACTGCGCGTGCAAAGCTTTGCACAGCGGTGCTGGGCAAGCGCGGAAGCAAAAAGTTATCGGAAGGGGAAAACGAAGTCAACAAAATAGTGAGATTGTATGTGTGACAGTGATGGAAAATGAGTGTGCATTGTGCCATTTTCGGCCCTTTCGGAAGCAGCCGGCGCCTTCAGCACAATCGATTGATTTTCGGCACTATTTTTGCGTAACTCAATGCAACTAATAAATATTTCTTTCGGATCCGCAATTAAAAATATTTTTTTTACATTTAATCGTATGTGCTTAAACTGATAAATGATATAAACATAGAAACGCAAGCAGAAGAATCTCGCTTCCACATTCTGCATATGCGCTTAACATTTTTGTTTAAACAAATTTGTCGAAATTTCATCTCTAAAGCAAATATTAAATATCATATAAATAATCATTTTTAGTGGTGGGCGAGTCCGAGATGTTTAAATGATCGTACATTCAATTCGCGTAGATTTTTGAGAACTTTTTTCGTTGAAGGTGTTGCACTTTTTTTCCATACTCAAATTTGTGTAAATCATCTATCATTGTCTAAGAAAAACTATAAAATAAAGCTTAATTTAAAATATTGGAATAAAAAACAACAACGCTACACGCGCATTCATCCATTTAATATAAAATGCGAACGTTCGTTTTATGGAAGAAAGTGCGCAACACCGCAAACAGAAAAGTTCAAAAAATCAATGGTATTTTCTAGACACTTCAGACTTGCACCTTATTATACTAGAATGAATGGGCTACCCAAAACATATCTACAAATTCTGAACAAAAACTGTGAAAATTTGATGAAACTTTTCATTATTTAAAGTTTCGATTTATTTGCAAGGTTTTTGTTTGATAATGAGCTACAATTTTATAAAAAAATAATTAAAATTATTTAAAAAAATAAAATAAATACCGGGTCACCGTGTAATTTTGTCAAAGATGAAGACAATGATGATAAAACATTAATACACTATATAGGTCAGTTCATATTAATAAACATAAAATGAGATCACTATCGATAAAATGGAAGTCCGCAAGGGAAATTTATAATTTGAACTCATGGAATTTACATAAATTTTTTTACTTTCAACCCCCGAATTGCTCAATTTCTTCTATTTCTGCAGGATCGCCATTAGGTAAATTGCATTTCCAAAGATCTTTTCAAAATAAATAGCGATGAGGGATATTTCACCCGCCGGTGATAAGAAATCGCAATCACCATAACGCTCATCACTTATATTACTGTTCACAATCACGTTTACATTTAAAATTACAATTCATAATTTCGTTTTGTAACAAATATGAAATATAGGTATATCCATTTACTTAAATTTAAACGGATTAAGAATCAAAGTGCTAGAAAAGATTTGAGCGTTTGGTACAAAAAGTATTTTTGATGTTGAAATTGTACTTAAATAACATCGGCAAATTGTACTTTTGTACATTTTAAAATTAATTGTACTGAAGAAGTACAATTGTACTTAAAATATCAACACTGTTTCACTGGCGCTGTACTTGCTGCAGCGATGCCAGATTTGAGCGTACCCAATTTTTTTACCGATAATAACTCTTGCGAGGGATTTGGGTATTGGGCATTTTACAAGCCTATTAGGAAGTATACATATCTGTGTTCGTATAGAATAGTAGCTTATGTCGGAAGACTGGCTTTAGTATAATGAACCATTCGCAGCATACGATTGCGAAAGACTCACTGGCGCCGAGTCGTTGAAGAACTCTTGGAAAATAAACGTAAAAAACGGTAATGTTAATGGCGATGCTAGCAAGTCGATATTCGTATAAAGTTTCATACAAAAATTCCTTGTGGTTTAAAGAATAAAGGAAATGGTACATTTTACTAAAGCCAGCTCCCGACATAAGCTACTATTTCATACGAACACAAATATATTCGTCTACAAATAATGTTGATTATTTTAATTAAGTCCTAAGATAAGTTTGTGTATCTTATCAGTGTTCTATGTAAGAACCAAAAATCAATACCCTCGCCAATTAGAACTTTTGCTTTAAAAGAAAAATATACATAGCGCATTTACTCAATACTTGGTCTGGCATCACTGTTTGATGTGCTCAGCTCACTGTTGCCAAGATCGTGCATTTTGCACTAAATTTAGTGCTTTTGGGAAACCAAAAAGCCAAAATAATTGGAATTCAATGCTTGGTGCGGTATTTAGTGATGCTTTTTTAATTTAAGCACACCGAATGCATAGGTACATATGTATGTATGTATACACTATACACTAATATTCTACATCAAGATGGAATTCATTTACTGAATAAAATGTGAGGAATAGGTCAATTAAATATGTTTTGCGTTGTTATAAATGTATTGAAATTAATTTATTAATAAAAACGTGAGGAAATGGATATGCATATACACTTTTTACTGAATCAAAAAAATTATTAAACATGATAATAAAAACTTGGCGCTTTTGTTTTGGAAAAAATGGCTTTTTCTGGTGGCCTGATGCCTCACTGGCTCAGTTGCCGCAAAAGTACACATACATACACGCATTTTTTCTTGAAAATAAGTGTGTAGTGGTTATTATGTATACGATGCCATCTCCGTACAGCTCACTTCACCTCGCCTAGCACGCTCGGGTGCCTGCAGTTTGCCCGCGAAATCGACTGCGTGCACCTCTGCTGTGCATGCCTACTCTAATAGATTAGGTGAAAAATGCAATATTTTCGCATTTAGCAAAATTAAAACACGTTTTTCGCTGTAAAGTGAACTGTTTTGGCAATTCCAACTCGTTCTTGTTTTCGCTCTATTCTTTGTTTACTTGTGGTACACAAATGTCAACGACCAGGGCAGCGCAATCTTGTATTCTATCATTCTTGGAGAACACCATTCACCGTAGGCGGCCTTCGGCCGCACTTAGGGGTTATAACCCTCAGTAAGTAGAATTCTCCTTTCTGTGTTGCCAAAGAAGAGAGAACAGAGAACAAATTGATGCGTAGGCGGCCTTCGGCCGCACTTAGGGATTATAATCCTCACTACGTAGAATTCTCTTTATGTGTTGCCAAAGAAGGGGGGCTGAACACCTTTTGCAGAGAACACCTTTCTGCGTAGGAGGCCTCCGACCGCACTTAGGGATTATAACCCTCACTATGTAGAATTCTCCTTTCTGTGTTGCCGAAGAAAGGGGGCTGAACACCTTTTGCAGAGAACACCTTTCTGCGTAGGCGGCCTTCGGCCGCACTTAGGGATTATAACCCTACGTAGAATTCTTTCTATTGTATGTACAGTATGGCAACACATCTTATGTGTCAGTTTGCAACCATGTGTTGTTGTAAATATGGGTGCAATTTAATGTAATTTGCAAGTTAATAAAAGTTAGATTAAAGTGATTTATATACAAAGATAAAAGTGTGTAAACTATTAGTAGAGTTATGTCCGTTCATATATATGAAAGTATGTGACAAATGCACTCTTTGATAAGGAAATCAAGTGGAACGACTTACGAAATTTTAACAACAAATAACTTATAAACAATTATATTGTTTATATTTTTTAGTTATACATGTTTTAGAGGATACCTCCCTTAACATCCGGACCAAGTTTCATTTGTTAATTCCACCTGGTTTTTTTAAAACAAAAAGTGCGGCTGAATACTTACTAAAGCCCACCCCTTTGATGTATTGTAGGAACTGCAGCCGTGCCCAAAACGTATAAGGCACTTTGGAAACATTGAAGAAAAACATCCTATGAATCGAATTGAAATAAATTGAACGTGTGAGCGCTGAATGAAATAGATATCGATAGATGCACTGCTGATCGATTACCAGATATTTCGATTATGGCGAACTGTCAGAAGACATTTTTTGACATTTTCGAAACATATTTTGGCATTTTGCATTTGCGAACTTTTAATTACTTGTTTCAGAAGTTTATTTTAGCGGAATGAATGCCCCACCAACGTTCGAATCATTTTTGTTGTACGAGGGTGAAAAAAAGTAAGTGCATTAATTATGTAGTTGATTATCCTCATTATTTAACTACATTTATATCTTTGTGTTGATTTCCAGAATCATCAAGGAGTTGGATACAAAAGTCACCAATGCAGCGATTTTCACAGTCAACAAAGAGGATCACACGCTTGGAAATATGATTAGAAAGTAAATAAGTGATAACTTTGGGGAGATGGCTTTTATAACATCTGTGTAATTTATTTCAGTCAACTTTTGAAGGATCCCAATGTTTTATTTGCTGGATACAAAGTGCCACATCCATTAGAACACAAATTTGTTATCAGAATTCAAACTACCTCCGATTACTCTCCACATGAAGCTTTTATGAATGCTATAACTGATTTATTGGCCGAATTGTCGTTGTTCGAAGAGCGCTTCAAGGTAAACTAACAGGCGCGTATTAGTATGCAGCTCAATTAATTGAACTTGTATCTTTATTTAGGAGGCGATAAAGGAGAAAAAAGAAGGGGGCGACTAATTGCATTCTTCTATTTGGTTTTTAGTCTTTTTATTTTTAATAACATTTGCATACATATGTAGGTGTTTAAAATATTCCGTGATTCCATTATACAAAAAACAAGGTAGTCTCCATGATAAAAAAGAAGGTAGTTTCAATAAACCACTTTTGACGGATAATAAAATTTTTCGAAGTTTCATAAATTGTGAGTACCCAACAAACATTTAGGTTTGAACTCAACTTGAGGTTAAGTTGAGAACTAAGGTATTTCTTGTTTCTCAACAGTACCTGAAGTGGAGGTTCATTGCGTTCTCAACAAAAAGGGCATTTTTGTTTGCATGGAAAAAGGACTGTTTCTCAAGTTGAGAAAATGCTTGTTCTCAACTTGAACTCCAATGTAATTCTCCAATTGGTCTCAACATACTGAAATTGAAATAGTAAAATACCGTATACCTTTTTTGATTGAAACGACATACATAGAATTTGAATATTAATTTTTCATTTTATTACTCCGTTTGTATTATGTGGTTAATCAATATCGTATCACAATAATTCACTTCACAGTATACAGGCCGACACTAATTTTGCCACTTGATTCATTTCGCGTTTTATTTTGTTTCAAGGTTATTTGAGGACACTGAAGATTATTTACTTTTTGTTAGTAATTTTGCTCTTTATATAGCTTTAGTTTTTCACTTGATAATTAAAAATTCGATTCTCTATCACTTTTTACGTATCTGCGCATCGGTTAGAGATGCGTTGAAGAATGATGTTGGATATCAACTTGAGAACTATGAATTTCTCCAAGGCTGGAGGAATATTTTTTTGGTGTTTTTGGGTATTATCAACGGCCTTGCCATTCTGATAATATTAAAACAATAAATCGGAGTATTTTCCTTCCCATATTTATACTATTGTAAACATGTTTAAAATCAAAAACCACTATCCGTGCTTGGTATTCTTTTACTTACGTAGCTCTCACTATTTTTATTAAAAATATATAAAATATAGACCATTAAAGAATACTTCATCCTAATTTATTTATTTTATAATAAAAACCACGCGTGCATTATGCTGTTATTTTTTCGTTTTCTTATTTTTAATGCAATCTTGCGATTTAAAATTCTAATTCTAAAGAATGTTCTTCCCAAATAAAACCTTTTTATATTTTGGTTCAAATTTACTTTAAAATTTCTCATCGGATTTTGCAAAAAATTAGGCTTTGTCATTAGCGTATCCCATTAACTTTCACAAATTTTGAATTGAAAGTTTCTAATTTATGCAAAAAACCTGAAGTCGGCTTGAACAGACCGCCTTCCGATAAACAATTAACATATCCTCGAATAAAGTACAAAACCGCGTATCAACAAAATGCATATATGAGGTTGCATAAATTATTTTCTAGAGAAACACTCATATTTTAAACTCGTTCTCTTTTTTACAAAGCAATCGCATTTTTGTTTAGTATATTTAAGGACGATCGATAAGGCTTGAGCCAAGAGCTTCGTGTGAAGAAATCGAATTTTTGGCAAATAAAATTATAGTTTGAAAAACTAAAACTTCGCTATTATAATTTCCATTCGTACTGTCATCTGGTATGTAACTTGAGAATAGAAATCGCTGCATATTTTAGGCACATCAATATTACATAGTTACATCCCGAGCTAATAAAAGGGAGGTAAAAATAGGTTATTTCCCTAACCATCCGAACCGGAAGTTGGCTCTCTAAAATGTAACGTAGTCCAGAAGTACGGAAACGCAAAAAAACACATTTCGAGCCCATAATTTGAGAAACACGTTGTTTTCGTTTTTGTCACTTGTATGAAAACACTTGGAAATTGAATTTTGGTTTCACAAATGTGATTTTAAGTATATAAAGTTTGAAACTACATCAACAGGCCATTCACTATTCTCTTTTTTTTTTTGATTACAAACGCAAATGCGCGTATAGAAATCAAGGCACATAAATACAAGTAGAAGCCAAAATGAAGTTGCTCTCATGAGAACCAAATCTTTAAACTTCAACTTGTATTTCTTTTATTTCCTATATTTCGTTACGCTTTTAATGCCATGTCGTTCTTTTTTTGAATGTTCGTTAATGACAAATTTTAAATAACAGTTGAATTTTTGTATTGTGCGGTTTATTCTTAGTGTATGTGTTAAAATGCAACACCTGTTATAATGCAGACACTACTCATTTTTTTAACGTGCCTCAATGTCTTTGGCGTAAGGAGCGTTGGGAAAGCAGCTGTGTGGTAGAGCTGCAGCGAAATGCCTTGCTGTGCGTTAAACATTTAAAGAGCAGATTTCATAAGTGCACCGGGAGGTCACGTTTGATGCCAAGTGCTGTTCCTATGACCCTTATGCCGGAAAGTCCCTCCAACAACACTGCAACTCATAATTCAAAAACAGAAAACAATATACAAATTAAGAAATTTTAACTAAAGAAAATAAATAAAAACGAAACTTCAAATTTACTTTAAAAAGTCAACCAGCGAAATGTAATTTTTTATTTTTCCTTACAAACGCTCATTTTATTTTTACTCTCCCGAAAACTTTGACTTTTGTAGGTTTGATGTCAATTTGGCTTCTACCTGTTTTTATTGTACCATGTATAGAAATTGGGGAACACATCAAGGTAACCAACCGTTCAGCTATGGGAAAACTTAAAATGCAGACCGATAGTACTTTTTACGCTGATTTCAACTATATAAATATTATTTGCCACAATTAAAAAGTAAAGAAGATATAAAAGGTTAACGACAATTTTTGTGATATTTAAATATTAATATTATCTAAACTACGTAACCGATTAAAAAAGTAATGATATAAAAATAAAGACAATTAATCTATCTTTAAGTTGATACGTAAAATGTGTTTGCTTGCTTATATATGTAAGCCAAAAATATTAAAAAACAAATAAAACGTTATAATTTTTTCATAAAATAACCTTTTTTAGAAAAAAATGCATAATCAATGCTAAAGACATATATATTATTTAGAAATTGCAAGTTCCTACCTTTAATTTGATATACATATTTTATTATGATCTACTTTTGAGGTTTAAGAATTCAGTGTTAAAAAAAAATTAAAAGCACAAGCAAATGACAAGTGTGGGTGATATCACAGTTTCTTTTGCCCAGAACTTCTTTCTGCGTGGGCGGCCTTCGGCCGCGCTTAGGGATCATAATCCTTACAAAATAGAATTATCTTTTCTGTATTGCCGAAGAAGCGGAGCTGAACACCTTTTGTAGAGAACACTTCTGTGTAGGCGGCCTTCGGCCGCACTTAGCGATTATAACCCTTACCAAATAGAATTCTCCTTTCCGTGTTGCCGAAGAAGCAGAGCTGAACACCTTTTACAGAGAACACCTTTCTGTGTAGGCGGCCTTCGGCCGCACTTAGGGATTATAACCATGATAAAAACATGGCAAGGTAGAACCGTTCTCTCAATTTGTCGGCCATGATTTTTTTTTTGAAGTTTGCTAACATTTTAAAATCATATAAAAGTGAAAATAAAAAATTGAATTGTTCGAAATTGTTGTTGCTTGAGATTGAAAATGAAAATGTGTGTGTGAGTTTGTGAGTAAATTTAAAAATTAAATTGTTTGGAAACGTCAAGAATTTTAAAAGTGACTCTCAGCGGTTCTACCTTACTATATTTTTATCATGATTATAACCCTTACCAAATAGAATTCTCGTTTTGGTGTGCCTTGGGAAAGGATGAGGTAACTAGAATTCCCTTTCGGTGTGGTAAAATTGGGGCTGCCGTCCCCCCAGTGATGTCTATTATGGTTACTGGGTGTTTTATAAAAATGTCTTGTATATAAAAATGTGTATATAAAATGTCTTGTGCAAATGAATATTTAACATTTTTCAAGCGAAAAAACGCAAATGAAAATTGTGATTTTTGGCCATTTTTCTAAGGGGTCCCTAGGGAACCATAGGGGACCTAGGTTGTCGGGGGTTGCATTTTTGTCAATGGCGGTTCATTCCCTCTCCAAAATGGTGGGTTAGAGGTTCCACGCCCACTTACCTTTCGTCCACCGCCCCTTTAACGAACGGCCATAATGGAAAGCCATTATTATTACTGAATTCTGAAAACTCAAAAGCAAATCATAATATAATATGTATATCAAATTAAAGGTAAAAACTTGCACTTTCTAAATAATATAAATTTTTTTAGCATTGAGAATATACTTTTTCTAAAAAAATTTATATTATTTAGAAAGTTATGTTTAGTATTTTTTTTTATCTTTTTTTCAACAAAAGGTTGTTTTATGAAAAAATTATGAATTTTTTTTGTTTTATAATATTTTCGGCTGAAATATATAAAAAAAACATACACATTTTATATATCAGCTTGAAGATAAATTAATTGTCTTTATGTTGACAACATTACCTTTTGAATCGGTTACGCAGTTTAGAAAATATTAATATTTAAAAATAAATATCCAAATTTTTTTGTTGTACCTTTTATATCTACTTTACTTTTTAATTGCGGCAAATAATATTTATATAGTTAAAATCAGCGTAAAAAGTACTAGCAATCTGCATATTTAGTTATTCTATAGCTGAACGGTTGGTTATCTTGATGTATGCCGAAATTGGCAAGGACTATTGTGATGTCCTCAAGAGCCAGGTTGTCCAAAAAAATTTTAATTTTATGCGAAGCTTTTAGTGAGCGGTGACCCGACGAGCCGGTTCCAGTGATGACATAAATCCCACGTCGAACAAGCAAGCAGGGTGACTCACAAAATTATTTTTTAATAAAAGGTAATAAAATACAAACTAAACTAGCGTTTGAGAAATGAAAAATGCTTCATCAAAACTTTAACCTACTTGTACTAGGTACATCTTAATACTATATACACTATCAGCCTTTTAATTTTAAAAACTTTTTATACAAAATAAAAGTATTGTACCCTATCAGGTATTCAGGTATGTAATGGTTATAAGATGAATTGTAATATGCTTGAGGAACTTAAAACGTACTGAGTAAAATACCACAAAAGTAATTTAGTGTAAATGACCTACACTATACCTAATAGTCTAAATCATTTTCACTAATTTTTATTAACAAAGTAATAACCTGAATCATCTCTCCTGATTGTACCAAAAAAGTCTAAGGAACTTGGGAGAAGAATACCACTAAATTGGGCATCTTAACAATTTAAACATAAG